AGATGGTAGAAAAGTTAAGCTACAAAAGCATTCAAAACATGAAGCAACCTTCAGTGACGTCAGTTTCAAAGTTGTTTTGTAATTATGATTGTAGGGTTGTATTGCCCTTGTACCTGTGTTCTTTTTTTATTTTTCTCAATGAAAAGTCCAGTTTCTCATTAAAAAAGAATGACGTAATCTTGTTGGATATATATTCAATCCACGACCTATTTTATCGGAACTCTTGATGTTGCAAATGATTTTTTCTTCTGTTCTTTTCTATTTTAACTTCTTCGTGATAGTTAATAAAGAAAATCAAGTTAACTCAAGTACGTGGAGGTAATGAATAGACTACATCATCATCACGTATGATCTCCAAGTATGAAATGAAAAGTAAGAAATAAGGGTAGAAAGAGGTCTCATGGAAATCTTAATCTCATACCTTTCTGATGATCAAAAGGTAAACCATCTATTGGCACAGACTTGTAACCTATGCTCTTTAGCACCATCCTACACCAAAACTAAATAAATAAATAATAATAATAATAAAGAAGTTGAGAATATCAAGGAAGCAATCGAATCTAGATGAGCTTATTTTCACAGAAAAGAAAGAACACAGTCTAAATCAAAAGAAGACACATCTTTATATTCGTTATCTCATTGGTGACATCTTTCTAATGAGAGAGAGAGAGCAAGATCTAACTTCAATGAGAGAAAAGATTTCACACAGTTGACCAATTTAATGGGGAAAAGAATCCTTGTGCAGGAAACTTGAAAATACGCTTCCACGGCATAGTTATATCACCCAATAAAATCAAAATCTTTCAGTAGATATTTTCAATTAGATTCATGTGTCGTCCTAACAAATAGTATGCTGTACCATTTGTCGCAATAAAAATGAAAGTTTTAACTTGTGAAGGAATTACTGGCAATCGAGGTCTTCAAACTCCCCAGTACCTCTAGCTATCTGCTTTCCAGGACTAGAACCTACAGAATAAAAGCACAAAAAGCAATTAGTAGCACAAGGACATATTAGGATGGGATGGGATGGGATACATCTCATTGTGAAGGACCATAGGTAATTTACAATAATGAGGGAAAACGGAAAACAGAAGCATAATGAGCAAAAAGAATAACTTCCAAAACTCTTCTAACTATTTCATAACATCATCTTTGATGAGATAAGGAGGAAAAATGAGTCCTTCAGCCTATTCAATAAGTGGCATGCATCTAATCCAGAGACATATGAATACATTTACAAATAGTTACCTTCAAGAACTGTCTTTTCAAAGCGAACACCAGCAACATGGTCCTTTTTGTCTACTGAACTCAAAAACTTCTCTGGTTTGCGGAAGAAAATAAAATGCAGTTCACGTAGACCTGCGCCAGAATGGGGAGGTCCAGAGCCAGCAGCCTTAGCAAGCAACTCATAAACTCTCTTCTGTATTCGACTGTTTCTCAACTCTTCCTTTTCAGATGAGATTTATTAAGACAAGGATGATATTGATAAGACAGCAGAATTTCTATTTGTGTGTGCATCTGTGAGTGAGTGTTTTAGAAAAAGAAGACACGAATGAAAATCCTTCTTCCTTGCAACTGCAAATTGCTTGACGAATAATCAAACTTACAGATCAAAATACCCTAGGTCCTTAGCCAACTGCACCATCACCTTAGGGGAGAAATAACTAAAAGACAGTTTACATTTCTTTTTAGACAATCACTGGAACGTCTCATCAATTAACATAGAAATAACTTTAGTCGAATTATACCTCATCTGTTGGGCTCTTGAGGAGATCGGATTCATGTATGTGAATGCGCAAGTCCTTAATACCTGTGATTAAATTAAACAACTTACGACATTATAGGTTATGGTTTGAATATTGTTTGAATAATAGACATGGGAACCATACAGCAAAATTCTAATTCATAAATCAAAAGATATTAGAACTCTTTTGTACTATAACCAAGCACAACAGCTTAATTAATAGACATGCACAGTCCTTTTGTCTGTATCACTGTTCTTTTTAAGATCAATACTCAGGACATAATAGAGATGCGAGAAACTCAAACATGGTTTAAACTTGGAAAAAAAGTAAAAAATATTTCCCACTTAGAACTTAGTCTTAAAGCAATGGTACAGGGAGTATAGCTAATAAATATTGATATCAATTTAAGAATGCTGGTAATACCAAGTACTTCACGTAGCTCTTTAGCAGTGCAAGCTGCTTGAACTGGCCCACGTCTTCCAACCAAAAACACTTTCCTATAATTATGTGACCAACAATAAGATTATGGAAAACAAAAATAATATTAATGCTATAATGAACTAAAAGATAAGAAACCTTATAGAGCTCTCCTGCAGAGCCTCTAATGCATGACTAGCAATATCTGTAGCTGCCAATTCCTGTGTTGATCGTAAAAGAATGCGTGCAACATCTAGAGCTACATTTCCCTGGAAGTTATAGACAATATATCAATCGTAGTTTGACACATCTTAAAAGCTTCATTTTTTTCCACTTCAGGAAATTCTTACAAAATTAATAGTTGGAAATGCTTGACAAAATTTTTTTATTACTATAAATTTAGAAGTTAGAACCGAATAGCCTAAAGTTACCTGGCCAAGGATTAAAGCTGTATCAGTGCCCTTTAAATCAGGGTTTAGGTGTCTGCAATCTGGGTGCCCATTGTACCACCAAACAAATTCTCTGGCCGAGTGTATGCCAGACAAATCCTATACAAGGACATGATTTCCAAAGTGAATGCATTGTACTAATATACTAGTGAATTAGTAGTTGCCGTTCGATAAATGATTCAGAAAAGAGAAGGAAAAAAGAAAAAAAGAATCATTCCCTATGACTGCAAAGTTATCATTTTTAGACAGTATGAACCATGGAAAATCAATCAACTAGGAGGCAGTAAACTAGCAGTACAAAATTTCTAGTTTTAACTAAACTTACTTCTCCAGGAATTCTGAGAGTTCTGTCACTTTCTGCTCCATATGCTAGCACAACCTGATTAAATGAGCACGATCATTGAGAAAAGTAAGAAAGAAGTTGGTAGCATGACAATGCCATGTGTATGATGCCAAAATCTAACCACGTGATACAGCTCACGGAGATCCAACAATGAAATGGAAGATCCAAGCTTGATATTGCCAAAGAATGAGCACCTTGGATTCTGTGAAACCCAGGTAAATTGATTGACCACAATCTGTATACTGAGCTCATATAAAAGCAAGCCTTTAAAGTCCAAACAAAACATTATTTTAAATGCTATTTTGAAACGGGAAGTATAAGGCACATTATCGAGGGCATTTTGCAGAATTATCTGTTATGAATGTCTATATATAGGTGAGCAAGAAAAATACTTGCCTACTACGTGTAACTTTTTTATTGGTCTATTACTATTGCATCTGATAGATAAGTTGATCCACTAAAATTTTTATGGCATATTTAATCTTTTAGTCAACAAAAATATGCCACATTAGAAAATCAATAAGAGCTCCTGCCAATGTGTAGGCAAATATTGTTCAGGTGAACAATACATCTGCAATTGGGACAACTACCAAACATTCAAGTTCAAATTATTAATATTTATTGGGTTCCATCTCAAAACCAATTCGTAACGAGAGGAATAGGCTGAGTAGCCCATTTATATTATAAATTTTTCAATGTGGGATCATTAACATGCAGMCTCAAGATGGTGCCTCTTTTATGTTCACCAATTTTGACCGGATCTCATTTTTCGACTAGATGCTTGTTTGAGCTTTTGGTCTCTGATACCACATTAAAATTCATAGGTTCCATATCAAAACCAACTGGTAATAAGAGAAGTAGCCCACTTATATTATAAATCCTTGTTAGGTCTCTTATCTTTTCAATTTAGGATCCTTAACAGAAATATGCATGAGATTCGTCCCTACCAGTTCCAACCAAAGTTGCATCATTTGCATAAATAGAACTGAAGAATAAAACTATACAGCAATGATCCAAAAAGCTAAAATAGTTTCCTTTCTCTTCGATTAATCAATCAATATCTTCAGCAATGGCAATCCTATCTTCAACTGAAAATACAACTTATGCAACAATTTCAAAATCTACAAACAAGGTACTCTTGTTACCTTTGTTTCATGATGATCGGGTGCCACGCCAGAACGCACTAAACCAAATGGGGTTGCCAAACGATCAATTATATCAACTTGAGCATCGGACTGTGCCTTCAACAGCTATTGGTGCAATTCACATATAAACAACAAATATGATCAATCCTTCGAAATAAATTATACTTGTAGTAAACTCGTGCTATGTAAATAAACCCCGTCCCCACTATATTAATATACTCCACAGCATAGTCAACTCACCTTCTCCGCGGTATAAAATCCAGCAGGTCCACTCCCAACTACACAAATGTGCGTAGGATGAGAAGCGAAAGTGGAAAAGCCTTTACATAAAATTGCCCTTGCTCTGAAGAATGCCATCCGCAGAATCAAGAAGCTTAAAAAATGGTACAAACAATCCTGCTACTTGTTCCCCTTGTTATCCAGGCTCCTAAATCATAACAAATACACACAAGAACCTCCAACAGTTAAAGCTATCTAACAAATATAGCTCTAGGAACAAGCAATGGAGTTTTATGAAAGAAAAACAGTCCTACTTTAACATTTTAAATAAGAACTTGGCCCAAAGAAACAGGAGGATTAAGATCTTTGGGCTTAAAGATCCTAGTAATCCCAATATTTCTAAGATTATGATCCAATCATTCTTCATCAATTGAGCGAAATAAACCAGCTAATCAACTGTTAAACTAACAGAGCATAGAGAATCGCCATGAAAATTAGAGGTAAAACATCGTTACAAACTGAAATTTCGAGAGTTAACTAAAAGAATATAAACTGAAAAAGCAAATTGATGCACGGCAGGCAATAATTGTCGAGCGAACAAGTCGAAATGGTGCAATTGTAGCATGGATAAGTAAATCTCCCACGAAGAATCATAGAAAATCGAAACAAAAAAGCAACGAAAATGAAGTATGAGAACGAACATACAATTCAGGGAAGCGCTGTACTGATAATCAGAAGGAGAATCACAAATCCTGGAAGAACCGAGATACGGCGGTGCCGAAACTCTGGAATTGAAGCCATGGCTCGAAAGTAAAAATCTGGCCTTTGGGTAATTGTACAAATCATCTAAAAAAGTTTTAGCTTTAGAAAATGGCTATATTTAAAAAATACTCGCACAGTTTATAAACATTTCATGACAATAAAATGAAGATTATAATAAGATTGGATAAATAATAGAGAAAGTTTGAAAAGAGTGAAAATCTAGGATACGCTCCACGTAATTGTCACGTTATTTTAAATTTTGCCACATTAACTCCCTGTCCAAAATATTAATATTAATGAGATTTATTCGAAAGGGTATTTTTAAACATTATATTTTTGAACCATGTCTTTTCTTTCAATTCAGTCTTACAAAATTTACTCACACCTTAGAGAAAAAATAATGGTTGCCCGGTACTACCATTTATTATCATAGCCTCAATGTGATCAATCACTATAATTTTCTGTTAGTACAATGAATGTGAGGTGTGAAGATTTGAGCCTCTGATCTTAAGGAAAGAAGGAAAGAAGTGGGTATCTTTATTATTGTATCATTTTCATGTTAATTAGCCTCGCAACTATAATTATTGTTGCAATCGAACCCAATCTTTTTACAACCATTTCTTTTTTTTATTAAATTGAGGTGTCGGTCGAATGATGATATGAAAACTAAAACGTTTTAATGATTAATATTATAGTTTTCAAATTTAAGAGAGTTGAAAAGAGGGATAAAATTGCAAGAGTTCTATAGGTTTAATGTTTTGATTCTAAACATTGTCATAGTTGATGGATAATTTGTGCATTTTTTAACCCTAAGTGTAGTGAGCGATGGATCAAATTAAAAGTTTGAAGGATTGATGGCAATAATTTCTATACTTCATGAATGATTTTACAATTTTTTGTTTTTAATCCTAATTCAAATCTCAAAAAGTGGTATATTAATAATGGACAAATTCTTAAAAATAGGTTAAAAAAACACATTTGGTCCCTAAACTTAGTCATTGAAATTTAGCTTGCAGCCACTTAATCCTGTACTTTCAAATTGGTAAAATTTTAGTCATTGAATTGAACTTTATCATATGTAACAATTTAATCAATGTAGTTTAAAATATGTAACAATTTAGTCCCTAATGTGAAAAATTTCACCAAAATTAAGTGTGATTTTTTTTTTCATATAACAAGTTTTGTAAGTATAAATATATTTGATCCCTTATGGATTTATTGATCTACATATATACAAAATTAACAAAAAAATTTCATGATAGAAACTAAATCGTTACAAATTTTAAACTATAGGGACTAAATTGTTACATACTAAAGTTTGGGAATTAACATGTTACAAATTTAAAAGTTTGGGGACTTAATCGTTGCAAATTAAAGTTCAAGAACTAAGTCATTACTTTAAACAAAATACAATGACCAAATATGTTTTTTAACCTTAAAAATATTATACCTCATCATCTTTTAATATCAAATTTCGTAATCGTAACGATTTAATTAAAAACTATTGAATAAGAGAATAAATTGAAACTTTTATAACATTACAAACTCAATTGAAAAAATATCCCAAACATTACTCGGGAAAAAGTAATTTCAATCATTTATTGTTCTCAGCTAAACAAAAGATAGAATTCTTTCACAATTTATTGTACCAAAAGGATTAAACACACTTAATTATATCATAAAGATTAAAAAGATATATAAATCCAGGTGGAAGAAATGGTTTCAAGGGCTTAGTCGTAACTTCCTCTCTTCCAATAGCATTTTAGCAAATTCAGTAAAGGCATCTTCATTGGTACCTTCTCMATCGACTGGCTCAAACTTTCCAGATTCCAAATTTACCCTCGATAATGGTTTCTTCAGCAATTTCTCTCCGACCTCTACAAGCTTCTGTAAATTCTCTTTGGTCGCAATAATAGGAACTATTTGATTTTCCTCTTCCACAGGCTAAAAACAGATAAGTAAGTAACAATAACAAACGAATAAGAGATAGGGATAGAAAAACTTAACACCAGAGGGGATTATACTAGTTCGCCCCTATCTTGGAACTACGTCCAGTCTTTTGTGAAAAAGCAGGTTCAACTATAATTGAAAATATTACAATGGGGATCTCACTCAAGATATATTATCTTACTTCTAAGTACCCTAACAATGGCTACCTAGGAATTTTTGTTCTTGTTTTAGCAAGAGGGGGTGAGAAAAGAAATTCTCACCATTTTTGTTGAAATCCATTTTGGGGTTTTTGGAGTTTTGTGTTTTGTGAGATGGGCAACCATGGTAGGACAATCTAGTAAGAACAGATCGAATGTTGTTGTTTCTCGCTGTGTAATCTAAAAGTGTAAGTTGATGCATTCAATAAATTTAATTGGAAAATATTTGGCTCATTAGAGTAATGTTGTCCTGATTATCACCCAATGTTTGACAACTAACACAAAGAAATGCAAAATCAAATACTATTTTAGAAAATAATGAGTGCAAGATTTGGTTGTTGCCGTTAACTGCCAAGTATTTTCCAATTTAATTCATATACGATATCTCAACACTCCCCTCACTTTGTTAAGGATCTCATCCAGGAAAAGAAAAGAAACCTAACAAGAATTTATAATATAAGTGAATTACAATGAATATTAATGTAATATCAGAGTCCAAAAGCTCAAATAAGTGTCAGATCCAAAAATGAGATCCGGCCAAGAAGATAAGCCAAAAAAGCCCTAATATAGTTATTCGTAGTTTTCATTGATTCTATTGCTACATATTTACAAAATGTGTTCAATAGTGTTTGCTACATATTTACAAAACCAAAGAATGAAACATAATAAACATGATAATAAACACAAATAATATGGTATCATCACTATGCTGCTAATCTTAGTTCACATGATGGTGCTGATTTACCATTCTTCGATGTCGTCGTGCAGGAGCGGACGACCGGAGTCGTCAATTCTCTAGCCACGGAAGTAGGGGCTTGGTCGCTGTCGATGGATGAGCTCAATGAGATCATTGAGCATCCTCTGGAAATGAATCAATCTGTGGCGAAGATCGTCCTTGAATGTAAAAAGGATATGTGGAGCAACATGGAGATGTTTCACCTTTCGAATGCATTCTTCGACAACAGTATCAAAACCTCAGAGTTCTGCAYGGTGTCGGAGAACTGTCCACAACGAACTCGGAACAGCCAGTTGATCATTAAGCTTGCCGTGAAGCAGTTTGAGGAAGATCAAAAGGGAGGTGATGAGAAATGTGTTAGAACATTTGAAGAGTTGAAGAAGTTTGAGGAGGCAGGGAATCCATTTACTCCAGAGTTTGTTCAGCTGGCTCAATCCTTATACGAGCAGCATTGTTCCACATTTAACAAGTTGCAAATTGAAAAGAGGAAGCTTGACAAAAAATCCAACACCATGAAGGCTTGGAAGAAAGCGTCGAATCTCATTTTCGTTACGGCGTTTGTATCGGTGGTGATCTTCTCCATCGTAGCAGCTGTGAAGTCTGCACCTCCTCTGGTCATCGCGTTAGCTGCTGCACAGGCGATCCCGCTCGGCCCGGTCGCGAAATGGTGTAACACGATTTGGAATCGCCATTTGAAAAGAATTGAAAAGGAGAAGCAACTCATCATCTCAATGCAACGGCCTACTTTCACGGTTACGAAGGAGTTGGAGGAGATTCGAGTACTTGTTCCGATTTTGTCGAATCGCTTCGGTTTGCTTGCCAATCTCTGCATTATGGAACAGGGAGCTATGCAGCTTGTAGTGAATGAGATCAAGAAAAACCTTCAAGGTTTTGATGAAACCATTGAGAAATTGAGTGTACATGCTGGTGAATGCAGCAAAAAAGTAACAAATCAGACAACAACTGCTCTTCTGCAGAAAATAATAAGGCATCCAGCAGCTGATTAACTCTCGAGAGGCTCATCTCTTCTTTACATGGATGTGCTTCACGTATTTAACTTAATTTCTTTGTTATTCCTGTTTTCTGAAACAAGTTTATGCATATTGTTGATGCGTAAATTTGGTTGATCAAAATTTACACTAAAAGAACTCGATGTTGACATGTAAAATAGGAAAAACTGAACACTGGTACAGTGCTAGCCACATACTATGAAACTTAAGTTAGAAGTGAATGTTGAAGAATGGCGTAGTTTTTAGAGTGAGGTTTTTTGCGTATCTCTAGCCTCGAATTTTTCTATTCTAATAGGAACCAAATCCTCTCCTCTTTAGGAAATTTGATCACTTTTTGGTGGCTTTGGCTTTAGATGTTGCATCATTGTGGGTGGGATGAACACGGGAAAGACAATCGGCCTATTGCTCGACTTTACCGGGGCATGTGGCTCATTCTTCGAGGTATCGGACCACATCATTACATTAGCCAAATTAGACAGACCAAATGTGTTTTTAACCTTAAAAATATTATACCTCCTCGATCTTTTAATATGAAGTTATGGTAAGGATTTTAATTAAAAATAATTCAATTCATAAGAGACTAAATTGAAACTTATAAAGCAGTATGAACTAAATTGAAAAAATACCCCAATGTTACTGGGGAAAAAATAATTTCAAGGAATACATGCTAATTACCGCTGAGCTGCTCACGTTGGCAATTTCAATCCTTTATTGTTTCCACGGAACAAAAATAGAATTCTTTCACAATTTATTGTACTAAAAGGATTAACACACTTAATTATATCATAAAGATTAAGAGGGCGTTTAAGTCTCGGGGTGGAGTTGTTAAATCTGGGGAGTAAATATGTGTTCAAGTTGCAGAGTTTCTTAACTTGAAGTTCTGAAGTCTGTGTTGTGTTTAACCTGYTCAGTTAGTAAGTTTGGGTTAATCATTGGAGTAAGATTCTAATAATTTTTCAATTAATTTTTAATGTCATTTATAATTTTTTTTAGAAAGATATCATTTCTAAAATTTAAATGTTAAGTTATATTATTTTATGATTTTTTTTAAATTAAAGGGGTTATAATTACAATTATATATTGTTTATTTCCTTTATTTATATTGCGTAATCTTATAATTTTATTTAAGTAATGATAAAATTATTTAACTTTTTGTATACATTTTGTTATTTTAATTTGAGTACCTTGAAAATAAAATGCATTCTTTAACTCTTTTAAAATCACTATATTAAAAATAAAACAATATATATTTAGATTATTTTAATTAACTAAATTCAAAATGAATATTATACATCTATATTTGTCATTTTGATTGTGTTTAATTTAAAATTCAAACATTTTTTAATATACATTTTATTTTAGTAGGTTTAAAATATAATAAAATTTATTTTGTTACTAAATATGACTAATTTAAAACATAAATATATTATTTTGTTTAATATTTGTTGGCTTGAAATTAAGTATCTTTATTTGTATAAATTCAAAATAAACTATTATTTCTATTCTAAGATCACTCCTTTAAACTTATATATCGTTACAAACTATAATTATTTAAACTTGCAAGAGATAATAGTAATTAAAATAACAATAATAATTCACTAAAAAGGTAAGCTAATTAGTTAATTAATTTCATTTTATAGATAGTTTAAATTTAATTATTTAAGCTTGGAATTTTATTTTATTTTTATAACAAGACATAACCAATAAATATATATATATATATATATATTTGCTTTACAATTTAGAAAACTTTAATATTTATAATTATGAGTATGGAGGTAGGTAAAACCGAAACAATTAAATTGTAAAAAAAAAGTTGAATAGTTGGAAATTAGAAAAAAAAAATGAAAGTAAGAAAGGATAGTATA